TTTTACGTTGGGGAGCTTGTTTGTTGAGTTCGGTGTCCGACACAGGCCTTCGCTGCGTAAGGGCGATGTGAATAAGCGTCTTGCTCAGTGTGACTTTTTCCGGACGTGGAATTTGTACGAGCCCCGCACACAGCCGCATGCAGGTTCCGCTGCTGCGCCTCTTACTGCCAAGGAGGGCACGTTGCCTGTGCTACGCGCCAGTGAGGAGTGCGATGTGACTCCGGGTAAACGACAGTCTTCAGAGGAATTGTCTCCTGCACGTGGAGTTCCCTCTTCCCCAGCTGCGAAGGTGGTGAGACCGGGTCTAACTGAGCCGACTGGAAGCCTTGAGGAGGAAAGTGCAACACCACTTGATACAGCGATGGCAACGCGGCAGGATGGGGAGTCCGTGGTGACTCAGCACCGTGCACAGTTTGAAGGTGACGACTGGGATCTGGTGCTGGAGCGAAAGCGTAGTGCGCTGTGCGAGGCGTTTGATGCAGATGTCTGTGAGGCGGTGGGTGTACCTCGTGGCTCCGTCGTGGATGTGGATTTGTCTCTGAAGCCTGAGGGTCTTGCAGCTCTGTTTGGTCTCCGACACAGGCCTTCGCTGCGTAAGGGCGATGTGAATAAGCGTCTTGCTCAGTGTGACTTTTTCCGGACGTGGAATTTGTACGAGCCCCGCACACAGCCGCATGCAGGTTCCGCTGCTGCGCCTCTTACTGCCAAGGAGGGCACGTTGCCTGTGCTACGCGCCAGTGAGGAGTGCGATGTGACTCCGGGTAAACGACAGTCTTCAGAGGAATTGTCTCCTGCACGTGGAGTTCCCTCTTCCCCAGCTGCGAAGGTGGTGAGACCGGGTCTAACTGAGCCGACTGGAAGCCTTGAGGAGGAAAGTGCAACACCACTTGATACAGCGATGGCAACGCGGCAGGATGGGGAGTCCGTGGTGACTCAGCACCGTGCACAGTTTGAAGGTGACGACTGGGATCTGGTGCTGGAGCGAAAGCGTAGTGCGCTGTGCGAGGCGTT